GCCATGCTGCCTCCAATGGTGGCTTTGAGGAGGCACTCGCGAGGCAGCTCACTCGACTCATAGGATTTCTGGCAGCCCTGACTAGTGCAAAAGTATCGCTCAGGAAAAACAACAGCAACTACTATCACTGACATGGTAGCTGCAGCAGAAGCATTCACGCTGGTAACACTAGTTTCATGAATGCGAAAGTCGACCGTAATACTACACCCGAGGACCACATGACCAGTCGCATAGTCACATACATACATGTAACGAAAGCAATATACATATATATATATATATATATATATATATTCAATAATTAGGCATACATTATACATAAAAACACATAATACATGTAGTCCGGTATATGTGACTTGAGGCATTTGTTCAAGCACTGTTGGTCAATAATCCACGTTTTAGAGTTGTGGTGGTTTGATTGGAAACGCATTCTTGACTGCCGCAACATGTCGCCGCTTTTCGGCAGTCATGCCTTGTTCACTGCGTTTGCTTGGAGACGAGGTGTCGAGCTTTTGCGGATCTCGGCGCAGACGTTGTCACTCGGCTCGCGGTTTTAGGCTGAACGTTCTCGACCAGTCATATACTCGTACGACAGCTAGTGGTAGTAGTCGTACGCCACGGCCACCGTGGACGGGGGCTAGCAGCTGTAGTGCTTCGTCGCGGCCTCACAGAATCTTCTGTCCATTGTCTGCACTTCTTCAGCCATTGCTGCAGGTGTATGCTGAAGGCTTGTCCGACAAAGCTGAGATGCTGAGACTGAACTCCGAGTTGAAGGTGCCGACCATGCTCGCGCAGGTGCCTTGCACAGCCGATGTTGGCGATAGTGCGACGACTTTGACAGGGACTTCCAGGGCTTAGGCGTCTGCTCGGAGGCTGTTGGTTGTTTACGAAGTCTATTGTTGCACCCGGCTTGCTCCCCAAAACACCTGACATCGACGATATGGAAGCGGTTGCATTAGAGACAGCTAGGAATCCCAGGCAGTGGTGGTAAAGGCCACGCAGTTGTAGTTCGGAACATCCGTCTCCTGACACCCAAGAAGCTGCGAATCAGGTGGAAAAACCGGATGTCCAGCTCGTCGGTGTGTCTTGTGCCGCATGAAGATAAGACAACCCAGAGCGCCCACTATCCCTTATCTACGAAGAAGCCTTACATCACAACAAATGAAACCCCAGCACATTTTGCGCGCTACGCTGCTCAATGTAGACACTTCTACCAAGTTGAGCCCTACAAAGCCTTGCGTACCTGGTGCCCCACTAAGCCTTGCTTCGGGTGAGGTTTCAGCCGTCCCTACTTGTCCCAATCTGGATCCAATCAACCCTAAAAATGGCTGCTTATTGTTGTTTATTAGTGATTATCACTATATTCTTATTATTTATTAAATATTAGTTAATTAATTCATATGCATACCCTAAACCCTAGAACCGCAGCCCCGAAACGAAGCCCAAAAGTTCTACCCAGGTGAAGGAAGCCGGACAGCTTGGCTTTACCTTGAGCCTCATGGGCCTGACCGTGCTCAACGTTGCGATGTGTGTGCTAAGGCTGCACTTGCCCAGCGAATGTGTTATCTTAATCTCACCGTATATTACCTTAGCTTACTGTCGCAGACTAATCGTCACCTTTGTTACTTTATCAGATTATCACTATGGTTAACTGTAACTTTACCTTTGTACTGGTCAGTACACTCATACATGTATCTATATGGATATTTGCTCATGAAATTTTCAGTGCCGGTTTTATTCATACGGTTCGCAGTGTGTTTATATGTGTTGTTAACTTCATCTTGAATTTTGACGTTGTGTTCATCGCTATCTTTGTACTTAATGTAGTTATCGCATCTTGGATTTATCTTTTCTTAGTCCGATCTTAACCGTGCCTTAATGTTTATATATCTTGATTTACAATCTTCGTATCTTCTGAAACTTTATCTTTCTCTTTTCTGCTCTTTATCTTTGATCTTCTTGGGCTTTCTTTCATCTATATCTTGCCCTGTTTATAAAAGTCTGTTTATGAAGGTCCGGCGATTTATCAAGGCCTGCGGGTATCATCCGGCAAAAACCGGGGCGCTCAAGAGAAGCTTAGCTGGCTCTGCACCAGGATAATCGGCACAAAAGGGAGAAGAGAGTCGAAACCAGAGGCCTCTCTACATCCTACTTGGAGGGTCGGGGGACTTAGTAAGTAGGTAGTAAGTCGACTTATAAGTACCCTAAAAGGGACCCTAATTGGGGTTATGGTACTTATAAGTCCCTAAAATGACCAGTTACTAAGTCCCCCGACCCTCCAAGTAAGATGTCCCAGTGCAACCCCACAAGCCGCTTAGGGCCCTTGTGGAGGCTTAGCCTAACAGCCCTGTAGACAGAAAAAGTGGTACAAAGCCCCACGAGACACCCAAAGCTGAAGGAACCACAAGGGCTTACTTCGTAAACAACAACGTCGGGGCCCAGCCGAGGCCATGAAGAGATGCCTACGGGAGATGAGGGAAGGGCATCACCCCGAGGCCTGGCAGCTCAGTCAAAGCTAAACCCTACCTTGAGCCGGAATAACCTACCTTTTTAAGGACTTATATAAGAAAATCATAATAATGAACCCTTAAAAGGTAGGTTATTCCGGCTCAAGGTAAACCTTACGATTCGTTTCACTTGGCAGACCTCCGAACCTATGCCTCGTCTGGATTGTCCGAGTGTGACGCCGAAACCGTAAGGGGTTTGCCACCAGGCTCAATCGGATTTCGGGGCTTCAGACGCTTCGGCAGCAGATGGAGATGAGCCCTCAATTAACAAAAGCAACGTGCGGGTCGAGAGTTTGCAGACTCTTGGCAAAAAAGGGCATGAAGGGTAGAGGGGAGCTTTTATGTTTACCAGTTTTGAGTTTGGAGTTTTTACGATGTAGAGCTTCGGGCTTTGGTGTACTTGTCAGTGCTTTGGCCTTCGGGCTAGGCTTTCAGAAGGACAGCAACTCGACTTAAAGATCGTTAGTCATATGCCGCCATATGCGCCCACAAGCAAAGTAGCGAGCGGTGCATCAAGAAAGGCCGCGCGAGCAAAACCAGCAGCGAAATCTGAGAAAGGATTGGCCCGAACCGATAACCCCTGAAGAGTCGGATCGTTCTTCTTTGGACGCCACGGACAACACTGGAACTTTAGCATGTGACAATTGTAGAACATAGAGGTCCCGAAATCTTGGTGTAGGACCTTCAGATTTTAAGAACCCCATTGTAACGAGCACTTATAGCGGTTCTAATTTCTGTAGAGCACTCTAACACCGACGACGCCGCATAAAACCCTGGTACAGCCTGAACGTGGCAGGAACACAGCCGCCTTCCCTTCGCAGAGCTCTATCGCGAGGCTATTGGCTTAGAGATATCGTGTTTAAATGTGGGCTCGTATGTATGGAATCTGTGACTAGCATGCATTTGCCGGTTCGGCGTGCTCTGCTTTCGTTGCAGCCGCCATGTCGTGGGTCCGCGTGCCTGTGCGTGCTTATCATGAGACCTACAACGCCTCCCACGAAGGCGATGCTTGATGCTTTTTCTACGACGAGTCTTTGTCACATGATTCTGACCACCAATGTTCAATGTCATCGCTCGCCTATTCTAGTCCTCCGTCTCTTCAGGTGGGCTTCGAGGAGCACTATGCCTGGGAAGAGAGGCTACCTACGTGCATTCATTCGGGAACTATGCGGAGGGATGATCTAAACTTCTAGCGTAATTGAGGTAATTATGCGCAATGGCTGGACCAAAAGCCTTACAGTTTCGAACCTTGAAGACTCAAAGTCTAAGTCCTTCGGCACTTGGTCTGTTCCGACTTAAACGGATGCGCCGGGGTTGTATTTGGATCCCGGCTTGCCTGAAACTGCCATGCGCACCGTGACCTTTGGCCAAGGTTCGAAGGACAGCCCGGCCATGCACGGCTGCCGAAGGCGAAACTCTGAGAGCGGCAAAGAACGTTCGTTGTGTACATAGAGTTTTCCCGGCTTCTCGAACCCCAAGAGCTATATACAGCCTGTACCCCTTTTGAAAAATGATATTCCTTCAATCCTTAGACGAAGCCCGTATAAGGTATTTTCCTTTATGTACCTGGAAGGGCGTCTCGAGAAACTTTGGAGTGTTTGGGATGCGACGTGTTGCCTAGCGGTCGGGGCACACTGTAAGCTTTATCATCGGGGACGGCAAACTGAATGTCCACCGGCGCTGGCCAGTGGATTGTGGCCCGAAATTCGCACCAAAAAGAAACAACAAAAAGCAATAAGAGCTCATAAGAGAGTGAGGACAGGAACTAGCTCCGACAGCTTTGATTGCGGTGCCACAAGAAGTAGCAGGCCACAAGTGCCGGGAGGGCAGCAGGTTCAAGTGCTTGAACTTCATCTTTGTGGCGGAAAGTCGAGCGTCGAGGTCCTGGCATGTGTGTGCATTGCTAACCAGGACGCGTGCAGGAAGTGGCTTGAGTTCAAGCTGCACAGAATGCCATCAACTCGAAGGTGGCAATACCTTCCCGGAAAAATAACAGTGTGAACCACTTCCAAGAAGCGTCGCCAAAGTCAGCCATGCCAAGCGCAGAGCATCGGAGAGTTCAGGGTTAAGGGCTGCCGGCGTGTTGCAGAGTTTTTGGCAGCATTCGTATGACTTAAGCATGAAGCCTGGAGCAGTGCCAGAGAAGCACAAACAAAAATGCAAAGAAGTAGCAGCAAAAGCAACAAACCCATCAGCTAGCCAAACGCAGCAAACCCACGAAACCCCGACACCACACAAGACCCATAAGCCGTATTCCTGCAAACCCCAAGAACCCTCCAAACCCTATAAGCCGTAGAAGCCGTATAAACCAAAAAGCCTCACCTGGACTGTCCGAGCGTGAGCGCCGAGCGAAGAAGCCACAAACCCCATGAAGCCTACAAGCCTCAGAAGCCGTATAAACCAAAAGAACCTAAGCCCAAGAAGCCCCCAAACCCTAGAAACCCTACAACCCTGCAATCGAAAAAGCCCTCAACCCAAGAAGCTCTGGCAAAGGAAGCAGACGGTCCTCCCGCTGACGGATTCGAAGCGCATCTCGGCTTAGGGCTCGAGAAGCCCAACAGACTCCATGATCTCCTGAGTAGCTGAGTAATATAGGGGCCTGAATAATTACCTATTCTAATTTGGGGGGTTCCTTATTATAAGTATAGTATGTTGGGCCCCAAAACCCTAGTCTAATCATTTAGGCCCCTATACTAGGTAACCTTTAACCTTTCGAGGTTTATATCATCCTACCATAATTGAAAGAGTGAACCTTTTTTTGGGGGGCTAGGCTACTCAGCCCATAGGTTTCTGGTTCTTAGAGGGTTTGGGGATTAGGGCTTAGGGTGTAGGGATTTGGGATTTAGGGTTTAGAGCTTTTGATCATGACTTCCTGATAAGAGCCCTTAAAAGGTGGGTTATTTGGGAGTAGGGTTAGGGCTTCTTGGCTTATAGGGTTTAGGTACTAGTATGTTTAGGTCTTATACAGGGTTTGTAGGGGTTCGGGCGTATAGCGTTGTAAGGGGTTAGGGCTTAAAGGGTTTACGGGATATATAGGGCTTATACTGGTTATAGGGCATGCAGGTTTAGTTTTGTTTAGGGGTGTGGAGTTCTTTACTGCTGCGCTCAAGTCTGGGGTTCAGGGTGTCGGGTTCAGCTAGGCATATGTTTTCAAGCTTCGTATCCAGAGCTGTTTGGAGGCTGTAAGGGTAAGGGATATCCCTTCAGCAAAAGCCAGGCTATGCCAGGCTGCTTGATAACGGGCCCTGGGACTCCTTGGTTGTGGAGTGAAGGAATTAGAGTTCGCTAGCACTCCCGCTTGAGCTGGGGGTGCACGCATTGATTCATGAGCTTGAAAATAACCGGCGTCCTTGTATAGATCCTCTACTACGGGCACTTGGCTTCTCTGTCTTTGCAGGATGCCCTTTGTTGCTGCTAAGGCCAGAGGAGGTAAGAAGCATCGGCAAAATCGACAGCTTGGCTAGCGGATTGGTTTGATACAACAGTTGTTGAACTATGTGTCCGGTCCATGTCCATGAATGAGGATGCTCTGAAGAAGAAGCTGCTATCACAAGCACTCCGAGAGATTCTTCTTGTTCACGCGGCTTGAGGACCATGCTGTTTGTTTCGTGCAGAGGTGGAGGATTATCGCTCAGAACTTGAAGTCCACATGACGGTGATTTCTCGTCCAGGCTATGAGAGACTGCAGGCGGCACATAAAGGGCTGCGTCCATATTGGTTAGCATCTCTCAGCGGTCACTGATTTGTGTTTGACAATGCTAAAACCATGTTGCACGGTGCCGTTTGCCCAGAAGCATTGAGGATCTGCAAAGGAAGCATGATGAAGCCGTACAGCGACAGGCACAGCAAACCAGGATCCTCTACAGTCAGCAGTGTAGTGCCCTAGCTCTCTCAGTTTTACATGGTCAGCTCATGCACAGATCAGCCCAACATGCGGCCTGCGCTTGCAGCAATGCTTTTAATTCCTGCGCCGTGCCGGACTAGGTTTCCAATGTTGTAGTGGGTTTGGTCGTCAGCTCATCACTGTCGATCGGTTTTCTGGTGGCCATGGTTCCGCGACTTGTTTGTGCTATGACCCGGTCAGAAGCTCTTCGCAGATTTGCAAGTCGTGTGCCCGTCTGTAGTTTTTGACGCATAGTCCACTTTATACGAAGTTCCGCTTTAGCCGTACTACTACAGCCATACGTAATTCCACGCCGGCATAAGCTGCGATGCATATTGGGCAAGGGCCTGAGCTGTGCTGCTTCTTTTGCTCCAGATATCCTTGAAGATATTCTAAAGGATGATTAGGTGGACGGCAGACAGGATACTCATAGGTCGCCGGTTGGCCGGGTCTTGTGTTACGAGGGCTGAGTCGCGACAGTGTCACGACCGTTCATCCAGGAACACTGTTTCGGACTGCTGCTGTTGCTATGAATAGTCTTCGCAGTTTCCGGTACCGCCGACCCCTTCAGAACTTCAGATTTCCAGATACAACGCCGACACAGTGATGTCTTGCAGTAGAACCCTGAACAAAAGCTTTACCAGCTGACCAAGGATCCTTGACCGAGCTCTTTGAGGAGGCCAAGGCTACGATTCCAGAGACACACGGCCAACAATGTGCAAACCAAGGCGGTACACTCGGGGTAGAAGACTCGAGCTTTGTTTGTCAAGTCCTTTTGCACGTCTGTGTCGATGATTCCCGGTCACACGACACGCAGCGACGAAGAGGGAGAGCCAGACAGAGAAGGGACGATCGAGGCTCAGCAGATAAGGGCTGGCGTCGTTAAGCGAGTTCCAGCAGCCGGAATCGTCGGGTATCTGCGAACCCTCCACTTCCTGCCGGAATCCTAAACGATCCGCTCTAGATCTTATCTCCCTGTGGATGAGGAACGTGGAAGGCGAAGTTGGACGGAACGACTCCAGCGATGGTGTCCAGCGAAGCTCACTGGCCGACAGGACATGCAGCCCGGTTGGGGCATGTTTAAATTAACTGAGAAGGTGCATATGCTTGGCTGTTCAACCGAAGCCAAGCTGTGAATACATTTCAAGTAGATGTCACTGACTGGCTAGCTCCTCAATGGTCGATACCTCCCTACTATAGCCTGGTCGTTTTTTAGGTCTTGTTTTGCCACCTTAATCTTTGCACAAACTTGGTTAATTTCGGGGCAGGTTCTCTTGCAAACATTGGTTTCTCGGTTTTGCGAAACCAAGTCCTTTGTGGTTCAGAAGGTTGCAAAGGAGTGAAGGTGGGTGGGTGAACCCCAAAGTGAGAGTCCTTGTAACGGGGATCTTAGACCGAACATACCACCTCTTCAGGCTCTGCATCCATCAACCCCCAAATCATCTGCAGTTTTTGCTGGATCAGCTGCATCTATCTTACCATGTGTGAATGTAACGTGTCATGTCCGAAATGTAACATGTATGTAAATTTGCGTCTGTCGTGTCTGCTAAAATTGTGTAGAATGTGTATATGTATATAGCAAACGGTTTATGTGGGTACATGTAGAATGCACGTATAGTTGAAAGAGATAGCACGGTTTCATGCGGGCGACGCCAGCTTGATGTTTGTTCTGCAGTCTGTGCAGAGCTTCTTTTGCAGCTGTTAACGGTGCCCTGTAAGAGGTCGAAGCTTATAAACGAAAGGCTTTCAGAGCCACGGCTCAACATCTTTTATGTTGTCGCGGACATGTTCCTGGCAAAGAGCTCCGATGTGATTGGACAGTTCGATTTTGTTCACTTTCTTGGGTTTCGAGCCCGGAAGCCGTCTTTTCGTCCTGCATGCATGTCTCTCAGAATTCAAGCCGCGGCGCGCCAGGATTACTCGGCCTGCGAAGCTCTTGATTCCCGACTTCAGGCACCAGCATTCCGGATGTCACTTGTGGGCTCGAGCAGCCGCATAGCTTGGAAAACCCACAGTCCTTATCGAAGGACCGTAGCTGGATAGCCGCACGGGCACTATCGTTTCTTCGTCAGTCTGCAAGCTGTCACTGCCATGCCACCTGTGGTGCCACTGCCGGCTCTATAGCGTAGGGCATGATCAAAACTATTTAACTTCGGACATCATAAGAAGGCTATACCGCTAAGCTCCATGCAGTTCAAACAGGATGGGTGCAGCCTGTGACTGTGGTGCAAGACGAAAGACCATAACCAGAGGCAGCAGCAATGCGGCACATAGATACGGCAAAAACAGAGATGTTGTGAGCACTTTCTGTTTCAACTCTAGAAGTCTACAAAGAAGGTTCTCCTGCAAGCATGGCCGCAACATCGATGGTTGCACGTGCACGGGCACGCCTGCGACGACAGCAAAGCCGACCCGCGAAAAGGCAACTGGGCACAAAGGGAAGTTTCCGCAAATTAGGGGTACCCTATTTGGTGTCCTTATAATAAGGACCCTATTATTTAGGGTACTATGTTAGAGCTCTTATTTCGGAAACTTACAAGTCACTGCAAGCCGCAATGCTCCACGTGACAGAGCCAGCAGCCCCTGCCATAGTTTTCATCGCTCAAGGCATTGAAATCCAACCACTCCACACATGCCGCTCACCAGTGAAAACGGAAACTGCCCCTGTCCCTTGGAAGCCCCATAGACCCGCAACTCTACGCCTCCAAAACCCTGATGCCCCCAAACCCCAAAACCCAACTCTGGCTCCTGCGGCTCCGCACTCTGAGGCTTCAGGGGAAACCTAGGGTTTAGGGGCTTAGGGTCTAGGGGTTTGGGGTTTAGGGCTTGTTTTGGGTATTCTCGCACTCCTGAAGTCCTGCACAGGTTACACCGAGTGACGAGTACCAACAAGAAGCCTTTGCCTAAAAGGGCCCAAGACCCTGTAAGCCTTAAACCCTACTGTAAACCCCAAAGATCCTAAAAAGCCTATAAGCCCCATCCTTTGTAAACCCTATAATCCCTACCAGCCCTATAAACCCGACAGACCGTCAAAAAAGCCTATACACCTCACAAAGCTGGTGAACCCTGAAAGGAGGGCTTGAAAAACCCTATAAACCTCATACAGCTTTTAAACCCTAAGCCCTCGCCTTCCAGGAAGGCTGCACCGGCAGCTCGAAAGCCGCAGAAGCGCCCGAGCCGGGGAGCTAAAAGGCGCCTCCCGAGGTTCCAAAAGTGAAGGGGCTTATGGTTCATTGTATTCCATTTTACATATATATATATATATATATATATGTATGTTATACACTATAGTACTACACTGTATTGCTACATTATTCATTAGGGGTTCTGGGTTCATGGTTTAGGGCTCAAGTAGGGTTCAAGGTTAGTGTAGTATGTAGTAAAGGGTTCTTTGTTATTTCAGTAGGGTTGAGGTGGGTCCCCCAGCCGCCCCCGCTCAAACGCGAAAATGTTGTGGTCATGAAATCCCACATGCACTTGTGCTGAAGCAATGCAACACTGAGCTACTTCAGTTCGAGGCTCTCCTTCCCTTGTGTTCGCTAGACTTGGGCATGGGCGCTCGCCACCCTGACGTGACGGAACACCTGCCATGGACACCAGCGGGGCTGCCATGCGGGAGACAAGAGTTCAAAGCTCGCAGCCCAACAGCTGCTACTGCACATCGAGCTTCGACATTCCAGGAGATACAAAAAGCTCAAGGTCGCGCCTTTCCGCCAAAAACAAAGAGGACTCTGGATCCCGAGCCCGATCTCTGCAAAAACCCAAGCCCTATGAGCCCGCGGACAACGTTTCAAAACGGTTAGATCGACGACCCCAAGCACTGCTTTCTCGCGGCCTCGGCGGCTGTGGACTGGATGTTCCGACCTGCTCGAGAGATCCCCTTGAATTGGTGATGGATGGTGATGATGACGATCATCATGAAGATGATCATGACGATGATGACGATGATGATGATGAGGATGTAGGTCTTGTTCGTGTTCTTGTTGTTTTACTGTTGTGGCTGCGGCTTGTAGTCTAGACTCATGCGATGCGCAGACCAGATGTACAGTAGACGAGCGAAAATTTACGTCCAGCCTCGAGGAATATTCGAGAGTACCTGGCAAATGCTCTAACCGGAGCTGCAGTTCTTAACATTCAACAACCTCCAAACAAGCAGAACACAGTGAGCACCATAACGCAAGCAGTTGACGAGGTTTCGGGGATCAGCTTCCCCGGCTTATCTCAAAACAAGAATCAGAATGTTTGGGGCTTTGTCTTAGGAGAAGTAAGAAAAAGGTTTCTGATGTCTGTCATGAGATGAGTTCGGCAGGCTGCTAACTAAGAAGAACAGGTTTAACACCAACACGTTAGTCAACATTCGTTAAGCCATGAACCTCATAACCTCATCCCACCTCGCGCCTTCCACAAGCACCAAGCGCCGGTACGAAGTCAACTACTTGGGATCGTGACATGATAGAGCATGGATAGTTGTTTTGTCCTATGGTCCTCTCAATAAGGATGGCTTCCCGCAGGGATGTCGAAGTCAAGAAGCCAAGTGCTACGTAGAAATCGCATTTTTTGCACTCTACACCAACAACAGAAGCAATGACAGCCAGCACTCACAGCCTCAACAGCCGCCACAGCCACGTGCAGAAAAAGCATGTGACGGAAAGCAGACACTGGTAGCAAGGAGAAGGCACTCAATATGATCATTGCTGTAGTAGCAGCAATAGCAGTGGCAATGGGTGCTTGCATTGGCAAGGGAAACCTCACCATTCCCACCCAAAACCCCCAGCCACCCAAAAACTTGCAGCTCGGAGCTGCAAATGTTAAAGCCGCAAACCCCCCATCCTCAAACACAGACAAAAACAATTAGAGCCTAGACCCCCGCACTCGGCGAATGAAAGCAGATGATAAATACATCTACATACACATATGCAGAATTCCTGTGACTCTCTGTGTGTGTGTAAGTATATATACTGTATGTATATGTATGTGCGTGTACGTGTGTATACATATATAGACGTGCGTCTATACACCTGCGTGTGTATATAGGCATACGCAATTTGCCACAGGGCCTCGTCCCGGAAGCCGGCAACGCAGCGGGAGGATCCCGACGAGAGTGACGAGGAGCCGAGCACTGAGCTGGGGTTTGTATTCCTGGGACTTATCGCTTTGACCTACTCCGACAAGGTCAAACGCTTCTGGGTACTTGTTTATGATAGAACTCTCAGCATTCCGGCAGAAGCTCCGGCCTCAAAGCGGGTTTGGCTGGGTCTTGGGAGATGGCAATATAGAAGCCTGGCTACCACTATTGTCCATGTTCCTCCTCTAGTTACATACCCCAAAAACTTTTCTATCTATTAAGGCGCCTCTATCATGTCTAGGTTCCTTTGAGGAAAGCTCGCTCTTCAGGGGCTTGGCTCCCGGTGCACCGTGAGCCCTCAGAGCGCGAGGAACGAGCAGCGAGCAATGTCCATACCAAGCTGCTTCCATACTTCAGTCGTGAGGACTGCACCGGTCCGTGCTCCGTAAAGCCACAAGGCCTGAAGATTTCCAACTTTGAACACCGAATAACTCCGACGCCCTCGAACCCTTGCAGCCCTAGGGGATAAGATAGGTAGCCCTACTTCCAGAGCAGCTAAGGTCCACGGATGACGAGGATAGCGACGATGACGAGCTCGAGAGCCCCGGAGCCAACTCTTGGGGGCAAGAGCCAGGAATCGCAGCCCTAAGCGGATTGTTTCGAAGAGGGTTCGTCGACCTCGTGGGCTTGGGTTCATCTTATTTGATCGGTTCTCGTCGCGTTAGTTGATTTTATGTATCCGGGTTTAGGGTTTAAGGCTCAGGCTATTGAACATATATACATATATACATATATACATATATACATATATACATGTATATATATATATATATACAGATATAGGAAGAGGAGAGAGAGAGATTGAGAGTGAGTGTGAGAGTGAGTGTGAGAGTGAGCGCGAGAGTGAGAGTGAGCGTGAGAGTGAGCGTGAGTGTGAGAGTGGGCGTGAGTGTGGCCAGGGGGTTTAACCAGCCCCCCATGCCCTGGCGAAGAAGAGAGAGAAGCCTGAATAGCATTCCTTGGAGTTCGCCGCACGGCCTGTGCAAACGACCGTTGAACCCTTCATCGACGGACGGCAGCGAAACTTCTCGCTCGAATCAGGTTCGGTTTCAAGCCGAAGGTTTCGACTTCAGGGCCTTAGGGCTTCCGGGTTGTAGGCTTTATGTTTCAACACTTTAGAGGCTGAGGGTGCAGCCCCTAGGGTTAATGGCAGACGAGATGTTAAAGAACGGGCCTTACTTCAATTCAACCTAGAACTCGCAATTACACAGATTGGAACACACAGTTCGCCAACAGAGAGATCAGAATAAGCAGTAGGGGTGTCGCGGTATGGTTGTACTGTCGCATACCCGGAAGCCCGATTCTCCCTTGTCGTGGCCGTGCAAGGAAAACAGAGCTTTCTGGACACCTTTCTGGGTCACACCGATGAACCCGCAACGCAGTGAGGTCGTAGAAATTCTTGAACCCTAAGCTTTGGCCCTAAACTCTCTGAACTCTAGACCCCGAACCAAAAGGGGCCCTGTCTTAAACTCTAGGTGGATTCTGAACACAGCTCAGGTCCTTTATTCAAGCCTTCAGGGTTCAAGCAGAAACACTGGAACGGAGCTCAGGAAGTGGGAGGAACGGCTGATGAAGCTTGAGGGGGCGACCACCAAGGAGGGTTAAGACTTCGTGGTTCGGTTGGGGTCTAGGGTGCAGAGATTATGGCATCGGGATCAGGGACGGAGGGTTTCAGTCAGAACTCAAAGCTTGGAACATGGGCGAAGATTGATTAGCAAGTGCTTGGGATATCGGACACGGTTTTTCTTCCGAAGTGCACATCGCAACTGCAAATCGAGAGGGCTTCGGGACTTCGAGTTTATGGGAATTGCAATTATCGCATGTTCGG